GCCCATCATCCCTGCCACTTCTGAAAGTCCTCTTTTGTGTCTTGGAGGTGTAATCAAAACTATGGTGAATTCTGCCACTGGGTACCGTCCCACAGGAAGGCAGGCTTGGAATATTCTCATCCACCTTCTTCACTGAGTTGGGCTTTTCCACAGAGTTAAAATGACCATGAAAGATAAACATTTTAATCAGTTCAGGACATCAAGGCAGCCACAACAACACAAGCAAAGGCACTCATGAAAGAGAACTTTCGGAACTGCTTCAGAAGTGATGAGGTTGGGATATATGTTCAAAGTGAGAGAGAGTATTTTGAGGGGGAACTAACAGCAATGTCTTTTACTGCAATAAAGGTCATAGTCACCACTTTTCAGTCACACTTTGTGTCAGTCATGTGACAGCCCTGAGCCCATTTCCTTATCTGGAAAACAGAGATAATAAGGGCATCTACAGCATAGGGCTGGCTTTGGCAGTCCATGAGCTAGTGCACAGAAAGCACTTAGTATAGTGTCTGGCACATGGCAAGCAGGAAATACAAGTGAGCTGTCACAGTGTTGTCAAAGAAACACAAAGGAAGGAAAGGTCAGTTCTATCTCTGGTGCAGGAGGGGGAGAGGAGGTGGTTCGCAGAAGGCATTGAGTCTTCCAGTTAAGCAAGATGAGGCAACAGTGAGGGCATTTATGGACTGAAAAGAAGCAGGAGCTAAGACTCAGAGGTTGCAGTGCATTCAGGGAATTCACATGGCTTCCGGGTCAGGACTGACAGCAGGAGACTGAGGTGGGGGCAAAGACCAGAGCCTGCCAGGAGAAAGGGCTGTGCCAAGAGTCTGGATTTTTTTTCTGTAGGGAACAAGGCCTGGGGGTGAGGGACTACTGGTCAGCTGTTCCTGAGGATGGCCAGGAGGCCCCACTGGGTGACACCAAGGCCTACCAGGCATTCTCTTACCATGTTGTTCACTGAGGAAGGACAGATGGGGAGCCCCTTCCCAAGCAGCCCACTTGCCAGTTCTTGGAAGTGGTGGCCACTTGTGTTTAGCCTGCCAGGGAAGAGATGTGTGGTCAGCTCCTTCAGTATAAAGTGGAAAAAAGGCCCCAGTGTGCCTCACCCAGAGAGTAACAGTTTCAAGCAGCTCTGCAGACAACATCTTGTTAGGGCTTTATCGTGGAAGAAATTCTGGCATCTGGCAAATTAGAGACTAACACTCTGTTCAGTGAGGAGGGTTGGAGGTGTGTGCAGGAGCTGGTTCTACCATGCCTTAGAAGCAAGCGGGCAAGAAAGGGGCTTTTCCCCAAGAAAGGGAAACTGAGCTTCAGGAAATTATGCGTAATGTCAAGAAAATTTTCTAGCTGAGATGCCAAGGAAATGACTGATTGGCCAAAAAGATCAATGGAAGTGAGACCATGAAATCATCAACATGATAGAAAATAAAGCTTGGGAATACTGAGCTGAATGACTTGGCCCCAGTCCCAGGTGAACCACCAGGTTGGCTGGGGACTTCAGCAGTCTTCAAAAGGTAACTGTCTGAACCCCTGCTCCTCATTGCCTGCCTTCAGTGGTTGGCACCAGGCAGGTATTGTTCCTGCAGAAAAGGTTCTGATGGCCTTTAGTAGTGATCTTTCTACCCAAGCCCAGAGCCCCTTCTCAGTCCCATCTTGGTTTTGCAAAGCTTCTTCCAGTCCTGTGACTCAGTCCTGCTTTTTTCTGCATCCATATGAGCGTCCTCCTTGAGCCCTTCAACATCCGTACTGGCTCCAGACAAAGATTTCACTTTCATGAGCTGATTTATAGAAAAATACTTTCAACCTAAGGTAAAGTTGGTCATTTGTGTTTGAAGACATTTTTATTTAGTCATGAGTATCATTGTATGAGTATCTTCCTGCTAGAGATGAAGATTACAGTTCAGCAGTGGTGTCAGCGGCAGAATCGCGAGGGGACCATGTTAGCTCCTCATGGAGACAGGGCCTCGCCTTGTGGGCCACCTTGGTGGATCTGGGCTGCTCAGCCTGACTGTAGTGAGCTTTTCTTCACCTGTACTTTCCTCTAAGAAGGACACCATCTGTGAAGAGAGTCTCAGCACAGCGTGATGATAGGCATAATCTTTGTGCTTTTTGCACTTGGATCTGAATTTCCTTAAAACTCCTAGAGAAACTTTGGAGCCTCCTTTTTCTGGGGCTGCCCTCTAGCAAGCTAAAGAACGTGGGAAAGTAGGAGCTCATATGTCAGTGATGGGGTACCTTTTAGAGTTTTCAGTGTGGCCTTGAGAGATAGTTTGGTGGTGTAAGCACCTGCCTGGTAAGCACAAGACTGAGTTTGATTTCTGGTACTGCATGCCAGGCTGGCGCCGCCCCAGCACTGGGGAGTCTGAGACAGGAGGATCATTGAGTCTGAACTGTGTAGGGAGACCTTGTATCAAATTAAGAAAAAAGTGGAGTTTTCAACAATACAGCAGCTCACTGCGGCATGAGGGCAGAGGTTTGCCACCACTGCCATACTGTAAGGTGCCAGGAACAAGTACAGGATTATCCTCCCTGGGGCTCAGCCCACGCACGTTCCAGTTACTCATTCAATCAGTCACCAGGCTTGACCTTAATCCTTGCAGCACTCTGTACAAGCCGCAGGGGTCAGTTATGTCCAAAATGCCTTCCATCAATTCTGCTCCTCTGGAAGGCAGCAGGGGTGTGGCTGCCCTCATTAGCAGCTAGCAGGAAGAATCCACTGACCATTTTATCACTGCTTTTTCGTCACACACTTTAGTTGCCCCAGGCAACTCCTCATCTTGTGTAGCTGTTAGAAAAATGCCACATTTCACCATCCAGAATGTGGATCCCTGTCCAGCCTGGTGCTTCTCTGGGCCAGTAGAAGACTAAACACATAAAGGGCCTGTCACCACCCAGGCGCCACACCCACCCTTCAAAGGACAGTCCTTGCTGAGAGGGCCTTTGGACGCCACGCAAATATGAAGTCCTCCCCACCGTGGAGCCCAGCCCCACACTGCTCCCGCTGCTTCAAGAAGTTCTCTGAGCCACAGTTCATTGCAACTATCGTTTATTAAAAAATATATGTCTCCTTGGAAGGAACACTGGTAAACCAACTAGTGTCATGCTTACTTTGAATCTTTGTTCTTCTTCCCTGGGAGGGAGGGAGGGAGAGAAGGAGGGCTGAGCATCATTCCCACCAACATATCACTTGGTCATCGCCAGAGAATAGGTACTCCCTGCTCACCTCCCTATTGGAGTCGTGATCAGCTGTCACTTGCTCCCACTTGCCTTCGCTCCAGTGTATTGCCCAAGGGAAAGCTGCTGCCCCCTTTCTTCACCCTCCTTCTGGGCCCCATACTTTACAGTTAGCCTCAAGATGCTGGTAGGGTAACTGGGAACACAATTCCTAAATTTGGCTGGTAGTGCTTTGAAACATTTTTAGCACTGTGTTGTTCGCACCAGTCCTAACCTAGTGGCCAACTCTAGGGCCAAGCATTTCTATGTTCTCCCCTGCATCAGCTCTCTGGCATGGAGGCAAGGGAGGCACATTGGCTTCAGAGGAGCACAGTGGGATGGGGTAGGGCTGGAACACACCTGCTGCCTACACCAGTGGTAGGAGGAAAGCTCCCTGGACCACAGTCACTGCTCTCAGACTCTGGGAAAAAGCAACAAGGTTGCACAGCTCACCAGTAAGCAAGTCTTAGCTCTACAGCTCAAATTTACAGCGTTAAAATCTACTTTCTTCTTGAAGAAACAGTAAGCTACCAGCTGTTGGTGAGGTGGCTAGGGTAGGGCATATGGAGCAGCTGCAAAAAAAGAAAATCAAATCAAACTAATTCTGTGGGTGGCCAAGCCTGGCACTGTCTTGCTGTCCTAGCAGAGTCAGGAGGCAAGTGCCTCCTTGTGCCTGTCAACAGCCCCACGAAGAAACCTCAGCCAAGTCCAGCTCGTCCTTGGCAGGAAAGTGAAGGGCCAGCCTGGTAGTGCAGAGCCCAGCTCCTACCCTCAGCCCTCACCAGCCCCTGCTTTCCCTCTGCTGACTCGATGGCCAAGTCCGGGTCACCTACTGTCCCCGAACGCTTGGCTCCTTTAGTACCTCATAAGCTTTTAGAACATTGGCGAATTGGATTCTATGCATTCACTTAAATAGTAAAAGTAAAATTTGGAACAATGAAAAGGCTGACACAGTAGCACAACATGGTTTTGGTTTAACAGCAGCTTAAAAATGAACAAAAAGGAAACCTCTCATGCAGACACATCAGGTGGCATAAAACAATACGCAATTTTATATGGAGCATAATTAGCCATTCTCTGTCTCTCAGCACACAGGACTGACTGCATCTCTGGGCCAGCAGCTGCCTTAGGGTCAAGTGTCCAACCCTCTGGCCCTAGGCAAAAGCCCTTTCTCTCAGGCCCCAGGCTGACCACCTCCAGCAACCTTAGCTTTCAAGAGAATGACAAATGCGCGTGCCCCTGGTACAGCACTTATAACCATTTTCAATCTCTTCCCAACCAGGTGGGATACAAGACACCATCTGATTGGAATATGAAAATTAAAGCATCTCTCTAATAACACAGTACCACTGATGAAGTCTCCATAGATTTTCTAGTCCCAATGTGTGTGAATATATATATTTATATATATATTATAGGAGAGCGTATAATATATATATAATAATTTCTATATATTTTATATAAATTACATATATATCTATATATAAATAAGATACTTTCTGTTGCCATTATGTTGCACCATTCAGAGCTGCAAGACAGCAGTACAGGTGGGTAGAAATGCCCAGGAGCACCTCATCACTTCACAAGCCGTGCAGCTGTCCAGAGTCTGTCTTTCCATCAGTCCTCCTCGCTTCTCTTTGCTTCTGCTTGGTTTGTATGAAAACAATGGCTCTGATGGGTTTGCACCTGTGCTAGCGCTTGGGAAAGGTCCATGCAGGAATGGGCACAGTCACATGATGAGTGAGATGGCATCATCCCCCAAAATAAACAAAAACAAAACAAATTTAAAAAAAAAAAAAAGAAAGAACAGGACTAGAAAACTCAATTTTTGACATATCTAAAAAAGGGGATAAGAACAGTGGTCATTTGTTCTCCCCATAGGGACAGGAATGAAGAGGGAAGAGGAAAGAGGGACTTGATTTCTTCTGTTCACAAGAGAATGGTTGGAGGGGATTCTTCAGAGTTTTTCAGGGGATGGGACCCAAATGTAGTGCCCAGACTGGTCCTCAATGATTTGTTTGATTTTGTTATAAATCTCTTCCAGTGAGTCACCCTGTACAATGGCTAAAGTGAAGAGGAAAACAAAATTATTACTGTGGTCCACAGCATAGCCCCCAAGCCCCAGCCATCCTGTCTCTCCTGACAACCCTACAGTGTCCCCCAGCCATGACAGATACTCATGAAAGTTCAGGTTTAGCTTTGGTATCACTAGTCAGCTTTGGACAAGTTCAGGGTAGGAGAGGAGCGGGCTAGAAACCCCTGTCTGAGACAGCAAGACCAAGTAGCAGCAGACAGGGAAATGTGTTTATTCAAAAGATGCTTACTGAGCACCCACTGCATGCCAGACATGGCAGCTCATGGTGCTCTTGGCTGCCAGAAGGCTGGCAGCTTGTGACTGATTTTAAACCAACCTCACTCAAAGACTGGGAAAATCCCACTTATCCAGAGGAAGAGCAGAAAGCCACCATGTTTTGGCAAGAAACAGTGCTCCTGGGGCTGTCACATTTGCTCTGTGTCAGAGGTTGGCCCAACAATGAAGGACATGGGTGCTGGTATTAAAGGGAGCTCCAAAGAACCAAGGTATGTGAGGGCATTTCTGGATTTTTAACTAGTTAGCCTGTCAGCACCATTAGTGAGTATTTATTCCAACTGCCCTGTACATACATACATACATACATACATACATACATACATACATCACTATAATTTAAAAGGTGAAGGATGATCACATAGGAACCTTCCCAACATTTTAGATGCTGACCTTCTAAAGTAGATGAACATATAAACACATTACACACAGGCACACATACATGCACACGCCAACAGACAATGGGAACACCACACCAAAAAATCATCATTAACAAATGTTTATTCAGCACCTACAACAGGCAAGGCAGAGTTATCAGAAAAGGAAGAGCTGAAGTCAGGGGAAACAAAGTCATAGAAGGCCCTACAACCTAAGAGGGACAAGAAGACCAAATGCACAAACCAATAATATAAAGCAGCATTTGGTGAGCACTTCATCCTCTAAACTGGCTAAACAGCTATAGCTAGAGGGAAGGAGCCTGAGTGCTTTGGAGAGGCTGGAGCTCACCGGTTCCAAAGCAGCCAGAAATTCTGAGAAAGCTTTCTGAACTCTGTCTAAAGCTCTCTGAGACAATTTCAGGAGCCATGTCTGGCTAGTCCCACAGAACCTGTGGCTGGGAAGCAGGGGCTCTTACCTGTAAAGTATTCTCCAAATTCCTGCTCCAGTTTCATGGCTTTGTCATAGATCTTATTTGCTTGTTCATATGTCTGCCGTCGGTTCATTTCCCTGCCAACAGCACAGAAGAAGAAAAAACAGTTCTAAAGGAGATCCTATATTTTGATCAACATAAACAGTTGTTCCAGCTTCCTTAAAAATCTTGCTAAACTGTCCCTTCTGAGTGGCCTGTGGCTAACTCCTTCCTCAAATCTTCCAGGAGCAGCATGTGGTTGGTGCCACGGCATCAGGCCTCCCTGAAGCTCTCACTGCATTGCCCATTATGGCTCCTGTCTACGTGTCCGCCAAAGCCTCATGCACTCCTGGGGGTGCTCTGCAGAGGTGGCTGGGTCTAGAGTGTGTGGTGATGGGATCAGGGCTGTGCAATTCCTAAATCAGTCCACTGACTGGTTGGCCACAGCTATGGCTAGGGTTAGGGTGTGAATGCTCCGCCCACCCTAGGGTGGGTAGAGGAAGAGGGCTAATGTGCTATTACCTGCATGCTTTGCCATAAACTGCTTCTCCCCTGTGGTGCCCCTCTACCAAGCCACCCTGCCTTGAAGCCAGCCAATTATGGCCTGAAACCTCTACAACTAGCATTAAAGACATCTTTCCTCCTTTAACTCTGGGTGTCAGGTATTCTATCTCAGCAATGAGAAAACTTACTAAGATGGCTCCCCTGCCCAACATGTCACTGTATTCTCCACTTTATCTTTTCAGGACCCCATCCTAGCTGGGCTTCCTGGGAGCAAACACTTACATAAGTGCTTCAATGGACTTGGGCTTGATGAAAATGGCAATGGGGTAAAGTTGTGCTTGCTGCAGTCTCTTGATAGCATTCCCGGAAACATCTAAGATGCAATGTTTGCCCTGAAAAAGCAGATTTGTATTAGCCCACCACTCCCTAGCCACTCAACACCAAAGGCCATTTGCACTGTCCATGGGGGAAGGGGACTGGGTAGGGCCACCCACAGTGGCCCAGAAGATCCTCTCCCAGAGGTCCTCATGCCACTTTTTGTTTCTACTACCAGAAAAGGACAAATCTGCCAGGGGGTGGGTCTCTATTCTTGGTGAGTGACGCTCCAGTATGAGTTTCGTGAAAGAGAGCGACACCTTTACCAAGAGGCAGAGCTGCCATGGCTTTGGTCAACAGCACCAGTTAATAGCCCCTGTGGTGGAAGGATGAGGACAAGTGGCGCCTAGTCTTAGTGTTTCTGCCTTTCCTCTGAGGCACACAGGTAGCAGGCTGCTGCCTCTGCTTACCCGCTCTGCCACTGCCCGCACTGACTGGATGCTGGTCCCATAGAGGTTGTCATTGAACTGGCCTGCCTCAATGAACTTGTTGTCCTGGATATCCTTCTCCATCTGCTCTCGGGATACCACAAAGTGGTAGTCTTGCCCATCCACCTCATTGTCACGCCGAGGCCGGGTGGTGTCTGAAGAAACAAAGGAAATGTTGTACGGCCCAAGGGCAGTGATCTGTGCTGGGCCACTAACTCTGACTTGATCCCCCCACCTGGGAGGGCCACAAAGCCATTCTAATAATTTTACAGATGAGTATAGGGTGGAGGTGGGGTGGGGGAAGTGCTTGGGAAGAAGTCTGTCTTATGTACTTCTCTTCCAACTTCCAGGGGATGGGGACTAGAGGTGCCATATGTGTGCTTTAGTTTAAACCAGACCAGAAAGGTGGGGTATCCAGAACCAAGGCTGGAAGAGGGTCTAAAACTTGGCACAGGACTCAGTCAAACAAATGGTTCATCAAATCATGGCCTTCCTGACTTTGTCAATTTGGGGGGAATCTACTGCTTCAATTATCTTCAGGCTGTCACATAGATCTTGTTCCCAATGAGCCCTATAACCTGACCCCAGACCTTTTCCACAGAAAATAAACAATTCCTGGGCACCAAGCCTCTCTCCTTTGGGCCTGCCTGGGCTCTTACGTGGCACACATGATCCAAATTTATGTGGGAACTCGGAGATCAAGTCATCGTTGACTCGGTCCTTCATTGGGCCCAAGATGATCACAGGCCTTGCGTAGTGAACTGGAAAAGGAAACCACGGACACAATGATCAGAGGCCCTGCTGCACCTCCTAGTCTGGCTACAAAATAGAGGCTTTGGAGCTGCCCCCCAAGATGGGGAGGCACCCATGGCCATTCTCTGCCTTTTGACTACATAGAGCCTTTCATTTAAGAATATGTAAGTAAATCCCAGGCAAGTCTGCCTGAAACATCGCCCTTTCCAATTGGATTCAGGAGACATCTCTGCCTGGACACCAGCAACTCAGCAAGGCTATTACAAAGCAACTGCTGAAGGAGGGATGGGCCTCTTTTGGTGATAGTGACACCATTGAAGCAAACTTCTCCTTATCTTCACAGCCAGGACTGATGTACAGTAGTCTACCTTCCCTCTTCCAGCCCCTGCATAGCTGCCCACTGTGGGAGCTTGCCACTACCATGAGAAACCGGCACAAAGGCAAGACTCAGGAGGGGGGCTTACTTTCTTGCCGGGTCACTGGTTCATATGACAAGATAGCATCCTCTTGTCCTTCTGCAATGAAAAAGGGAGACATGTTAGCCCTTCATGACCTGCCTCCCTTTGTACAGCATTCACTTCACCCTACCCATGCTGTAAAATTGTCTTCCAAGGGGTCTGTTGGTCCTCTCTGCTTCCAACTGACAAGAAGCAGTGACAACCCCATGGCCAGGATACCTTTGCTAAAACTATCCCAATTGTTTAGTAACTGTTCTTAGAGATACCAGTCAGTTACTCAATGGCTCCCTTGCTGTAGAAAGAACCACAGGGATACATCAATTGGTTGACACACACATGTTTAAGTCCCTTTACCTACAGACAGGAGTCAAAACATTCATGCAGACCCACAGAGCTGCAGCCTAACTTTGCCCTTTTAAAGGTGGGTCTACCTACCCTCCCCTAAGAAGTGTAAAAAGTTGTACATGGCTGGGCGTAGGTCCTCAGTACCCTTTAAGAGCAATGCTGAGCCTGCTTCTTCCTCATGGTGACACTCCATGGAGCCTGGCAATGATGAGGGTTTCCTGAAAGGGCTTCAGAGCCAATTGGCACTAGGAACTTGGAGGCCCCAAAGTAGCTAGCAGCAAAACCAGGGGAGGCAGTAATATCTGCATTGAGACTCAGGATGCTTGCTAAAAGGTTTTTTTTTTCTTTCTGAGCCTAACTTTTGGCAAAGTTCTGAAGATCTCTAGCCACAATAGCTCCTGAAGAGCCAACATCCCCCAAAAGTCATAAGGTTTGAGTTGTCATTTCTCTAGTCTAGTTAAGGGATCTCCCAAGGAAAACTGGGTAGTTACTGTCCCAATCATAGACTCCCACCAAAGACAAGGAGGTCCTAACAACCTGCAAAGGCAGATTCAGGACTGTATCCCATGGGAGCTATGTTGTTTTTGGTGTCTGAGCAAATCTGCAAAGCTGGGAGCATCTTCAGCCCACAGTGCACATAGCAGTGATTGCCCATTGGTAGTTCATCTTTCCCAGGGTGCAGGGATGCTTTCAAGTCAGGTTCTAGCTAGAACTGTAGGGTTTATGCTCTCCTCTAATCCACAGGACAAACTCCATCCCACAGGGACAGAGAACTGACCACAGCATTTCCAGGGTCTCAAGGTGCAGATGGCTGAAAGGAGCAGCAGACTTTGAGCATGATGGGCAGCCATGCAACACTAGAATGAGGATGGCTAAGAAACACGGCAAAGCTACATGATGCGGGGGGAATGACACACACTTACTGGAACTGCTTTCGCTGTCACTGGTGTTGGATGTCACTCCCTCTGCAAGCCAACAAGAAAGAGACTCCAATTCAGAACACACCACTGAGAGGTCACATGCAGCACAAAACGTAAATGCTCCAGGAGTGAGACACTAAGCTGTCAACTGAGCCAGGCTGCAGGAGGCCTGCCACATCCAGGCCACCAACTAGGAAGCACAGCTCCAATCTTCATGCCCTGGCTACCTCCAACTTGTCCCCAGAGCCCTTTCCATCTTCCAAGTCCCTCCCCTAGCACAGGAGGCCTCCCTTCCTTCAGCAGCACTCTTCATCTGAATCCAGTGAATTGACTTGGGTGATTTCCAAATCCTATCTCAAAATGCAGCTCCCAAGGCTAACAGCAGGAAAGAAAAGGAGGGGACGGTTGCAGAGAGAAGGCCAGGGACATGAATTTCCTCCCAAAACCCCACCCCAAAGTGTGGAACGGCATGATGCTCCACAACTACGTGAGTAAGTGCTAGACAGGGTGAGCAGTCCCCAGTGTCCTGCTGTAGCCCCACAGCCCTCTGTCACTACTCCTGAGGAGGGCTGGGCTTCTGCAGGGATCAGGGATGCACCTCCATCCACCATAAGAGAGACACATCAAAACACAGGCAACAAACTAACAGAAATATCTCAAGGACAAGACAGTGCTCCTGTCTCAGAGACCTGGAATCTGCCCATCTTTGAGTACGGGCAATAGGGAGTTTGAGCAGAGAGCCATTTTCATAGCAGGCACAAACACAACCCATCCCTCCTGCAGTGACAGGCAGATGAAGATGAGACACGAACACACCAAACTATGGAGAGATGCTGCTCATTTCAGCCAAAACCACACTGCTCCAGACCATGACATGCCGTGTCCCCCCCCCCAGGACCTGCTCAATTCCCACCTGTGGCTAGTTCCTGCACAATCCCTGATGGCACTCTACTTTCAGCCTTTAAAATTTATTGAAGGAGAGTACACGTTGACAGAAGCCACCTGACAGGGCCACATATCTGTCTGTATCCCTGCCTACAGCAGGGTCAGCTCTGAGCCTTTACCATCTAGGCCCTTTCAGTTTCCACTCTGGAATTATTTTCCAAAATGGCTAAGTCAAAGTTTTCTTGAGAGTAAGGGCTAGCGGCCCACAAATGGCACTGGGTCTGTTGGGCTAGGTCAGGTGCCAGATGGGTAGAGGTTCACTGCACTCCTGATCCTACTTAGGGAGACTATAAGTGCTGTAATTCCTCAGCCTGGCTCTTTAGAGTGTTGTCCACAAGAGAAAAATCCAACCAGCAGGTGCCCTCCCCTTCCCAGAGGCCAGATGTTAGCTGAGTGCTTGCCCCAGAGCTGTACTCAGGCCCACTTGTCTTCTAAGGTGGAACACTTTAAGGTAGAACCCATCTTCTAAGGCCTCACTACTGCAAAGTGTAGAAGGTAAACACAGACATAAATGCTAGGGATCTGTTAGGGTACCAGGGACCAGGGGCAAAAGTGTGACATTTGGAGTCACATGTACTTCTCCCTGCCATGGGAATAGAATTCTCACAAACACTGTCCTCCCATCACCCTTCACCCTCACCCATGTCCACTACACCCCCACCCCCACTACCTCCATTCATGCCACAAATACAGTTAATGGTGCGTAAGTTTCACTTACTCAGGTTCTTTGCTCCATAATAATCGTCACTTAACCCAGGGAAGTCCTGATTTCACAGACAGCAAGGACAGAGAGGGGAAGGGAAGGTGGGAAGAGAATTAGGGAGAAAAGAAAAAAACAGAAAAAAGACAAGGGAAGGAAGAATACAGAAGCAGGTAAGCATTAGTGACAGAAGCATGAAACGTCACGAAGACCTAGAACTATAGCAAAGTGAAGAACTTTGCTACAGAAAGAACATTCTAGGTAAGGTAAGATACCTGGACTTGCTGCTACTCTGTCTCAGCAGAGACCCTTGGAGTGGACCACAGGAAACAGCAGGTGACACTCCAAGGCTTAGAGTACCTACTTTGACCAAATGTGTAGTTGGAGAGCACAGGTCTCTGCTCTGCCCATGAAACCACATTTCATTCTGTGGGTACATGACAGGCACACATCCCTGGGTGCCAGGTTGGCAGAGACAATTACCATCACCTCAAGGATCTTTTGTTCAATACCGCTTTACTCTGTTCAAGTCCCTCAGGGAAAGCTTCCTGTGTCTAGGGTATGGCTTCCAAAGCTGCCCTGTTGGTCCAGGCTTCTGGAGAACAGGCAGAAGAGAATTTCAACTGTGTCATCCAATGGGCACCCACCAGCCCTGCTAGACCACTGAGCAGAAACATTTCCCCAGGCTATATTCAATCTAGAGCTTCAGGGGCTCATCTGGTAAACTGGTGACACCACCTCAGCCCTTTGTCTCAGAGAGCCTTACAATACTCAGAAGTAGATCAACTTCCTCTGTCACTTGGCATAGAGGGTCCCCAGGATGCTGAGCCCTGGTCTTCATACAGATAAGAGCACCTGTACCTACCAGGTACACCGCAGACAGCAACAACTCACACATACCATGAGTGTCACTCAAGCAGGCCTAAATAAATAGCATTTTTTATCAGCACTACACAGTCTCTTGCCAGTTTCAACAGCCCAGGCTGCAAGATCCCTCCATGTAAGACAGAGGAGTCACTGGGAAATGAAAGATGTTTACTATTCACAATGACACAAATGAGGAACTATCAAGCCTGACCTGCTACATAGGTTAGGGACAGAACAGTTAATTTTTGAAGAATATGGTAGAGTCAGAAGACTTATCAGGGTTAAGATGGTTTTTAAGAGTTCTTTCCCTTCCAAATCAGCTTTGTGTTCTTTAGTAAATTTGCACTTGAACTATGGTGAGCACGACTACTTCCAAGTGAACTCACTTATTCGAGAAGGGCTTTCTTGTGGAACCTGGCTGTGCTTTGGGATGACAGTGAGCCTGTGAGCTGTGCAGTGCCCTATGTGCTTAGGCATAATCATGGGGTTCCAGAAGCAGCCCCGTCTTCAGGAATCTGGGAAAGGACAGGCTTTTCTCTTGACATAGATGAGTGAAGTTAAGGGAAAGAAAATGCAAGAGGAGGGAGCCAGGGGAGCAACAACCAGTCCCTTGACCTTACTCTCTTGGAAAACCATTTTTCTAACCCTGACATTGGCTAAAAGCCGCTCCTCGCCACCACAGCAGAGATCCATCTGGCACTTCCAGTGCCAGTGCCAAGCAACTTCCTGGAGGTTGGCCCTGGGATTGATCCTACCTCAGAGCCTCCAACATTCATTCCTAGTGAGGAGCTGGACAAATAAGCCCCAACATCTCCCCGCGCAGGCCAATTTCTGCCCTGCCTGTGAATAAGCAGGTGTGCGCAGGCAGGGGCTCACTCCCTGGCCCAGACTCCTCCTGAGGGAAGGGACAGCTGAGGACAAGAGGGTGGGGCTTCAGGCAGGCTGCTCTCTGGACTCTGCTGCTACTTACGTTCCTGTATGCTGCACTCCTGGGCCATGTTTTCTTTGCTCTTGTAAAATGGAAACTTTCGAGAGAGGCGAAAACTCTTTTTACGTTTCGTTTTGATCGACTGTGAAAGAACATGAAGATGGAGGGGAAGGACAGAAGAAAAAAAAACAGAACAATGGATTTTAAAGCATGCAAGAAAAACTAAAATGGAGACAATGGTGAGCTAAATAAAAGATCATCTCTCACAAATGGACTATGAGATTAAATGAAAGTTGATGTAAGAGGAAAATTATGTTTACAGGAAAATGTTGTAGGGATGTTAGAAGTTTCTACCTAGTTCAGCCTCACAGCATTCACTGGCACTTCCTAAAGAACAAAGGTCACTGGAGTCTCCTGGACACATGCCCTAAGGTGCCACTGACAGACAGAGTCACCTACTCCATGCCTCTCTTCCCTCTACAGTTCCGGAAGTTCTTTGGCCTGTGAAGCTCATAGAAGAAAAGGGATAAATGAAGAGCCCTCCTGCCTCGTGTGTTGTGAAGGGAGGTGGAGGCTCCAGGGCAGGCATTCTGGCAAGATGATACCAGCTTCTGCTCAAGGTACCCACAGTTTCGACAGGGTGTGTGGCCAGGGAGATACCCACGAGTGGTTGCACCTTTCCCAGGCAAGTCAGCCAAGTCCAACACATCTTCCATAGCCAGTCACCCAGGGGGAGGGGCCCAGACTAGCCGTAGACTGTAAGTGCTCCCTCTCTCTGTTTTCTGAAAAATAGTCAATTTCCTGACAGGACAGAGCCAGTCCCCTGGAAAAAAAAGACATTTCTTCTGTGCTCCCCCGTTCTCTCATACATCAGACCAAACTCCAAGCCTCTCACCCCTCCTCACATCCTGGCTCATTTCCTTAAGGGTCAGTCCCCACTTACCCTGTTAGATTCAATCATCCCCGTCCTGGCATGGAACTTCACGGTTTTCAATCGAGCTCGCTCTTTCTTTTCCACCCTGTTTGGGAGTCAGAAAGAAGTCCTGTTCCTGCCAGTACATGTCCTTAGCAGTGGCAGCAGGCACAGCAGTCACTCTTTGGCTTACTGAATGAGAACCTGAGTACCAACTCTCTACCAAAAGGCATAATCAGAAACAGATGCTATTCTCTGGCAACTCATAACACAATAGGAAAACAAGACAGACATCTGCAAGACACCTGAGAAGGTCTCACTCAGGATCGTGACAACTCACCTCTTCTTACTGGGGATCACACCGATCTGCTCACTTTCTCCATGTGGAGTCACCAGCCTTGCCTGCCACCACTCATCATCAGAGGCATTAATGACATGCAGAATGTCACCGTAAGAGAAGCTGAGCCCCTGGCTTGGTAGGCAGCTGTCCCGAGTCCGGTCATAATCAAAAAGGGCCCTGAAACACACAGTAAAAGATGAAGCCATCACCTCAACCCTCCAGTTCTGAAAACAGGTATCCTGAAAGCCTGCCAGAGGAAAGCCAGTCTCCACAGTGCAGATGCAGCAGCTTCATATCAGACAGGAAGGCCTTTCCTGGGAGACTGCATCCTTGTTTTAGTCCTCCACATGGAAAATACAAGTCATTTTCAAGAACCATCCTATGTCCCCAACAAAGAATAAGAAAATCTTTTATGAATTCCAGCTTCTTGATACAAGGAGGAAGCCCAAAGTATAATCTACTGACTAGCCCTCATCCATCCTAGGAAACCAGCTCTACAAATAGGGGTCTGTCAGTTTACAGACATATTTTTGGAAAGCAGTTAAAGACAAGCCAAAAAATAAGGTTAACTACAATCCCAAACAATGAGTGGTAAGAGACTTACTGTTCTCATACTTCTACTTTATGCTGCAGAAATATTTGCTTTCAAAGACTCCAGTATCCCAAGGCATCCAAGCAAAATGCTCACACTAACATATAACCACAGTGACTGGTTGCAAGGAGCCCCAGAATCTTCTCTTTCACTCTTTGTCTCTTACATATGTAAGAACACAGATTCTGGGAAAAAGAATCGTTGGACCTAGAACACACATCTACTTACCTGGGACAGAACCCATGTCCTCTGGCCAAACATACTATGAATCTAGATGTAGAGTGTCCCCCTGAAGTTCAGAGGCTGGGGTTGAGAGGTGAGTGGATCATTGCCAAATGTGCTACTGCATAGTAGAGGCTGGTCATGATGCGCAGCACTGGGCATGGGTCTTTGGTGGGGCATGTCTCTTTTCTCAGCACCTCCTCCTTTCACACTTTAATTCCTAACTGCCATGAGATGAACAACTTTCCTCCATGCCTTACCACCAGGTTGCTTCTCCCTTGAAGTCAACCAGCCATGGACTGAAACCCCACAATGGTGAGCAACATTAAACTTCCTCTAAGTGATAGATGTCAGGTGTTTTGTCCCAGCATCAGGAAAGCTAATTAATGCACACATACTCATGTACATTTTTTGACATGTTATAAATAAAAAAAGACTAAATAAAGGAGAAGGTGGGCAGGAAGCTGTACCATGTGGACTTGTGGAAAAAGAGCCTAGCTTAGTTGTAGCAGGAAGTTGGGACATAAGCTTGGTTATAAAGCCTGGGGCAAATTTTGAAAGACCTTGAATAGAAGTCACATACCAAAAGAGCCTTGGGAACATTAACTTGACCTCATATGTAATGAGACAATGGGAGAAGGGGCTATTTGGAGGCAAACGTAAAGCAGGTTCTAAATTCAATCCTGACTCCCATCTGGGGAGACTGGACTGTTACTTGCCACAGTTTATTTCTAAGAACTAACTCACTGAAGATAGTCTCTATTTTTCTTATCTAGTGGAACTACTTTTTATATGCCATTATGACGAATGGAGGGCTTCAGTGAGAAGCTGTACTTTTTTCCTCTTCCTGTAATCTAGGCTGTGGCTGTCTACATCATATCCATCATATCTTGTAACAGAAGTGTTTCCATACTTTTGCACAGACAGCCCAGGAGACTGTTCAGAACTAAGTTTCTACACTTCCACTTCTACTTGCCATCTGGTCGTCTGTACCTCAGGTAGAAGTTTCAAGTCCAATATACTATGCCTCTTTGTGCAAGCCCAAATAAAAGAAAACATAGTAAAATCTTAGAGTAGTATACCCATCTACTTTATAAAGTTCTTGAAACAAAATCCTTAAAACTCTGTCAGAGCTGAGTTTGGTGGGGCACACCTGTAATCCCAGCACTCAGGAGACAAGTTTGAGTCCAACCTGGGCTGCAATAGCTTTGTCACAAACAAACAAACAAATGTCAAATGATTTGAAAATGAAAACATCCAAACTTTTAACAAAAATTCCTTTATTTCCCTCAAGATACCCACTTTCAGGAGTAAGAGCAGACATGATATCTTGTCTAAACACTATTAGTTCAAAACCTTCTTCTCATTGAACTAAGAGAAATTAGCTGTATATTTATGCTATTTTGTATATATAGATATATTTTTCCACTACAAAATAGTCCATTTGTATCCCCTTTCTGTTTACTTTTGTCAGAGATGTGTATTCCATTGCCATTCATATACTGTAGGTACATGAATTCAGCAGAGTAATCCAATATAGTCCAGTAGTTAGATATCATGTCTGCATCCTGTACTAGGAACAACTGCTACAAAGAAAACAATATGCAATGTATTAATTATTGTAACTGTACTACTAACCTGTTTTGAAACTGTCTCATTGCTACTTTTGCTTCAATAAAATTATTAAAATAAAAAAGGAGTAAGAGCAGAGGCGGAGGTCAATAGACAAGGACATGTGGTGCTTTACAGGCTCTGTGCAATTTTGAGGAAGATTAGTGTGCCAGGCAACCTTACTTTATGTAACAATGAGAAATACTGTCATTTTATGGGCTTCAAAATTTGAGAACAGAACTTGGATTAAGTTTGAGAAGACTGATAGATTAGTCAAAGTAGATTAGGAAAGCATGCAAAAAATAAGAGTGCAGAGTTTTTTTTGTTGCAACTGTAAAACACAATCCATATTTTTACATCTCCCAGAACCATGCCTGACCTTTGGCAAGCATAGTAACTAGCTGGAGAATGTACGATAAAGTTAATGTACACACGTTTTCTGGGTGCCAGGAATCCAGCTATTTATAATTTTTAAGCATGTGAGGTTAAAATAAAATTAATATAATAGCTTATTTTCAAGTTTACTATCAGGTACCTTGCAACATCAAAACACATATTCCATGAGTTAAGTAAAAACAAAATAAAGACATCAAATTTGTCAACAAGAATGCCAGTTGATACCCATGAATTTTGAGAATTGCACTGTTTTGTTTGGTTTTTAACCATAATATATGTTGCTTTCATAATTTTCAAAAAATGTAAGTCAATTAAAAAGAAAGTGAGGAAACAAATATACCAGGCACTGCTTGAGTCATTTGCCTCAGGAGTTCATGCGTGGTTCTAAGACCCCCTAACAAGCAAGGCCCAAAAAAGGAAGTTGCATAACTCTAGTTTGTCCATACAAAATGCCACCTGCACCCATCTGGATTTTGTTTAATTAATTTATGAAAGATGAATGGGTAAGGAATATTAAGCAATGGGACAGACAACACTTTTTTACCTAGGATTTTGTTAAAGACACAGAAGCATAATATCTAGAAGGATTTTTTTTCCCTTTGGTTCCAGGAGTTGAACTCATGACCTTGTGCCTGCCAGGCAGGTGCTATACTGCTGAGCCATTTCTCCAGCTAATATCTGAATTTGAAATTCTGAACTATAATAATCTCAGTTGTGAATGTCAAAGATGAATTAAGAATTTCCTTTTCTCTCAAATCATAACTGCAAATAGGCAAAGAACTCTGTGGAAAATGGGAGCTTCAGAGGTCACTGTGTCCAAATCCCTATCTAATAAAGAAAATTCTTTAGATATTCTCCTAGTTTCTTGCTAGCTACAGCATTATACTGAATCTGGGCCTTTCCTACGTCTTCTCTACCAGGCTAAAGATTTCCAACTCCATCACAATTCCTTCCTTTGTCATGATTTTGATTTGTTTTCCAAACCCATGATGTGGATTTTCTCTAAATCCACTCTGTCTCTGTGCCTACTGTACCAAGAGCTAGAAAACTTCCTCCAAGGTAATGAAAACCAGGCCCAGTTGCACAGGACATGGTGTAAAGTTGCATGGTGGGCAACTCTCAGACTAAGTCTTTTAAATCTCAGAAAATTTCATAAGGTCTTAGTCATAGTCATGTGCATTAAAAAAAAAGCCCTAATTCTCCACTTGGTTATGTCTAGCAAATACCACTGCTCCATTTTTTCAATATTTATCGAGTCATCTTTCTATTGGACACTGCATTAGGTATATGGGAAATACAAAAGCAGAAAAAGCCTGGTAGAACTTGGTGGTTGCCAGAGGTTACATTAAGCTGCGTGTGTCATACCAGGTGGCATGAAAGGTGATTACACACAGGCCTCAAAGCACTCACAGGAAACAAGATCACACCTGCTTCAGGAAAGTTTCAAGAAAATCTGCATTTTGAATTAGGCCCCAATGCAGGGTCAGGATTCCAAAGGGAGAAGTAGAGAGTAATCCTTATAGGGGGAAAAGAAGTAGGGAGAGGTCCTTTTAGGAGAACAGAGGTAAGGAGAGATCTTCTAGGGATGACAGACGTAGGAACAGATCTTTCTGGGGGGACAGTTAGGGAGAGATCCTTCTGGGGGGGACAGGGTAAGCAAAGGCCTGAAAGGGGAAAAGGCACAGGATGCACTCAGAGATTACCAGAAGGTCCATCTGTGGCTTGGCTGTGAAGCGTGGCAGGATAGGGCCTAATTGGAGACAGCCTAGCCTGTCCAGCTAAGGAGTGTGACATTCACTGAGGAGGACTTGTGTCATCTACTTCACTGCCTCCAATTTTATTGTTTCTGGGCTAAACTTTCATGTGGAATTGAGCCAGGTAAAAGAGTCTAGAGTATTGAAAGTCAAACAACCTCTTACATGACATGTATATCATATAACCAGAAAAGCTATGTAAGTTGGACCTTATTACATTTTTTAAATGTGTCAACTGTTTTCCTAAGATCTTTCAGAACCATGCTAAACTGTGGCCATTTGTCAGTGATGGTCTCTCTCAGGTATAGCCTGGCATCCTAAGTGATAGGATGAAGGAGGAGCCTATTTCTCCAGGTCACTGATATTTCCTCTCCTGTCTTCTGGGAAGGCTCTAAGAAGCTCAATTCTGCCCTCTTTAAGCCAGACTGACCCACTGTCCCTTGAGTGAAAGTCAAGGTCCAGGCAGATAGCTCAGCAGCATAAGTACATGCCTGGCAAGTGAAACGTCCCAAGTTTGATACCCAGTACCACAAAAAAGAAGAAAAAAAGAAAGTTCTGTCATTGTGTTTTGGGCCACAAAGATAGCTCAACAGTCTAAGCAC